TAGCTCGGTTGCTTCATCACGATAGGCAAGCCCGACCACCACGTCAAGGTAGCAACAACGGTCGGGTAGGTCCCCCAACTCTTGCTGAAGTTGAGAAGGCTATAATTAATCTGAAACGAGGAAGGGCAGCTGGTCCAGATGGATTGGCTCCAGAAGTCTTTAAGGATGGTGGTCCAATTTTAGCGATTAGGTTGACTAATATTTTAGCTAAGATCTGGGAGTCAGACGTTATCCCATCTGACTGGTCGCAACCACTTATCGTCCCAATATATAAGAAAGGGTCAAAATCATCCTGTGACAACCACAGAGGGATTAGTTTAACAAATATAGTATCTAAAATACTAGCTTCGATAATTATCAGACGCCTAACTAAGACTCGTGAACTGCAAACACGAGAGAACCAAGCTGGCTTCAGACCTGGTCGTGGCTGCATCGACCACATATTCACCATTCGTCAGGTTCTAGAACACAGGCATACCTATCGGCGTCCGACGATGGTGGTCTTTCTTGACTTAAAAGCAGCATTTGACTCTGTAGACCGCGAGATTCTGTGGCAGTGTCTGTCATTGAAAGGCGTACCTCAGAAGTACATAAACCTTGTGAAGGCTCTTTACTCGAACACTACTAGTCGAGTCAGGGCTTATGGCGAACTGTCATCTACTTTTGCAACCTCAAGTGGTGTCCGTCAAGGCTGTCCACTTTCTCCATTTTTGTTTAACTTCATCATAGACCTATTGATGGAAATAACATTCTCGTCGACTGAATTCTCGGGTATTGATCTCCATCCAGGAGGTCCACTAATCGACTAAGAATACGCAGATGACATAGTCCTGTTTGGTGAAGACGCTGACAAAGTGCAGAGTCTTCTGGTAGCACTAAGCAACAATGCCAGAATGTTTGGAATGCGCTTCTCTCCCTCTAAATGCAAGTTGTTGCTTCAGGACTGGGCTGCGTCAACAGAACGGACTGCCGCGCAGTATACTCGTTCTTTTATTGATAGACGGATACCTCGCCTTCTCCATAGGTGACGTAAGGTGGCAAGAGCCAAGCGAGCTTTTCGAATCCATGCCGATATTTCGTCCCATACCAACCCATTAGGGCTGACCAGACTTCCAAGATAAGTGAAGTTGTCGACGCGTTCGACTACTTCACCAAACCAAGACGTGGCATCAGTGCTTGCAGTTACTAACTTCTAGTCTGAGCCATGTTATTAGATGCAGACTACTTGGTTAGGGTTCGCGCAATTATTGTAACCAGTGGTTGGAGACTCTGGGTGACATGGCTCAGAATCGATCACAATGGCGTAGGTGTATACACTCCCTGTCTTCCCTTAAACTAAGAGATTAAAATCACTTCATATCTTTCCTTCTACGAACTAATTCTTTCTTCCTATACTATATCCTCATATGCAATCTTTCTCCTATATATTACCGCCTTTGACCTAACCACTCCTATGAATCCGGTGTTCATCTTGCTGTGCTAATGCGGTATGGCAACCTGGACCGATGCACATATGTGCCTGGTCCTACGTTGTAGCTAACTGGCTGACTGACTACCGACCACGTTTCACTGCCATAAAGTAGCACGGAACGAACTGCTGCGCAGTAAACACATCCTTTGATCGGTAGACGGATATCTCGCCTTAGCCATAAGTGACGCAAGTTGGCAAAAGCTAGTCGAGCCTTCTATATCCGTGCTGAGATTTCGTCACACACCATACCACAAGGGCTAATGAGACTCCCAAGATAAGTGAAGCGGTCAACATGCTCAACTACTTCACTCCCTTTCATTAGTTTGGGTGTCGATGCAACCCAACCCTGAAGCAACATTTTGCATTTCGAGGGGGAGAATCGCATGCCGAACATGCTTGCATTGTTGATTAGAGTGGTCAGAAGACTCTGCATTTTGTCAGCGTCTTCACCAAATAAAACTATGTCATCGGCATATTCCAGGTTAACAAGTGAATCTCCTGGTAGAAGTTCAACCCCTGGAAATTTATATGAGGAAAGTGTTATCTCTAAAAGTACGTCAATGACAAAGTTGAGCAAGAATGGAGAGAGTGGGCAGCCCTGACGAACACCACTCGAGGTAATCAATTCCGATGACAGTTCGCCATAAGCTCTCACTCGACCAGTTGTGTTCGAGTAGAGAGCCTTTATAAGGTTAATGTACTTCTTTGGTACTCCTTTCAATGACAAACACTGCCATAGAACCTTACGATCAACACAGTCGAATGCCGCCTTAAGGTCGAGAAATACTACCATTGTGGAGCGTCTGAATGTGTGTCTGTGTTCTAGAACCTGACGTAGTGTGAATATCTGATCTATACAACCAAGTCCAGGTCGAAAACCAGCCTGATTTTCTCTAGTCTGTTCTTCACGAGCTTTGGTTAGGCGTCGAAGTATTATTGAAGCTAATATTTTAGACACTATATTAGTCAAACTGATTCATCTGTGATTGTCACAAGAGGACTTTTGTCCTTTCTTGTAGACTGGCACAATCAGTGATTGAGACCAGTCAGATGGGATTGCATCCAGTTCCCAAATTCCACCTAAGACCTCAGTTAATCTCACTGTTAATATTGAACCACCATCCTTAAAAATCTCAGGATTAAACCTGTCAGGGACTGCTGCTCTCCCTTGCTTCAGATTTTTGATAGCTTTTTCAACTTCATAAAGAGTCGGAGGACCCACACTAACTTGCCATTCAGGTTGACTGGAGATCGTGGGAAACCGAAGTGTGGCTGAAGGCCAGTTGAACTGATCCCTAAAGTGTTCTGCCCATCAATTTCGTAAACAGCAGTAATAACGCGAGAAGGCAGTGAATAGGACTTTCCCGGCAGTGGTTTTATGCACGTGGCCATGTGAGAGCATTTCGAGAGAGAGAGAGAGGTAGGGAGGGAGGGAGAGTTGACTCTCCCCACTCTCGCTGTACCAGGGCATTTGGGGGCGGAGTTATCCCATTTACCGTATTGAAGTTGGAGTTGTGAAATAATTCAGCTGTTGCACGAATGTATCACGAGTACAAACTTGACTTTGAAGCAAACTATTTATGAAAAACGTAGCGGTGCTACTACCTAGCTTCCTAAACCCAAAGGTAAGTTCATCTTTAGTTGGGTCAATAACTATTATACATCTGCTAAAATGAATTTTCATGCATCACTGACATCAGCTGACTTTATACCACGAACTGACTGCAGATAGACAACTGGTAAAAAACAACGAAGTATTGAACAGCTATTTCATCCTAGTATGGGACTTCCTAGCAATTTCCACTCACGACCTCATCAGGAATCGAGCCTAGGGCTGGTAGTGAGTGTATCACATTTCGATTACTGAGTTGGTATTAAATAGTGTGTTGCTATTTTCAGCCAATTCGCAGCACTATCCGAACATTAACCGATGATATTTGTTGCAAACTGCTCGCTTTTAACAGCACTGGACTGCACCGGTCACGGCTTCTTTCTTTTCGATTACAACCGCTACATTTCAGTAAACTTAAATAAATAAAATTCCCTCTTGAAATTGTGTTTCTATCTTATTGACTGATTGGATAATTAATTAGCCGAATTTCCTATAATTCGTTTTCATGAATGCCTGTTCCATACTAAACTGAATTTACGTTTGTACTCAAAGTTGCCCAACTTTTATAAATTAATCACTGTTTTTGTTTTTTCTAGTATATAGCCAACCTATGCAGGTTAATTTCTCAATTACACTGGCAACAACCCAAAAACTCACAAAATCAACTGCATACAAACCTTATTCAAAAAAGTGAGAACACACTGCCGCACATTTGCAGCGCGGAAAAATATCTAGTGACTATTATTCAAAAGAACAGCCACCCACGCAAATTCATTTTAAAAAATATATCAACCTGACTCATCAGCAGCAGAGAAATCAAGTACAGAAACTAACAAACGGACCATCCTACCATATGTAAAAGACATATCAGAAATCAAAAGATTATTGAAGCTGTTTGGAATAGGTGTAGCACAGAAACCAGTGAAACCACTCTGATCAATCCTATGCAAACCAAAGGACGAAATGACAAAAGAAAAACCGGACATCGTCTACAAAATGAACTGCTTCAAGTGCGAAAAACACTATATTGGACAAAGTCGACGCCCTCTTCATCTTCGCCTGAATAAATATTAATTACAGATCAAACGCCGTGACATATCTTCGCTTATATCAATGCATGTGGACAACTGCGAATAAAAATCCGACTTGAAAAATGTCGAGATCTTGGATAGAGGGAATACTACAAGAACCAGATAACTTTTAGAAGCTTGGCATTCAGGTCAATCACCAGTCAACAGACACATTAAAATCAACCTAATCTATCAACAGATCACAAAAATAACAAATAAATATAGGATCAGGAATCAGATCAAAGGGAGATACAACCAAAACGTTAATTCACGACGACTAATCAAGTAATTGAAAGGCTCATGACTAAGATAGACGACTTCCAAACGGGTAGGTTGGACATTCTAAACCCACTTCACCTAATTTGGTTTAAGGATACAAGCATTACCGACAGCACTTTAACAAAGTGTAATTTCAAGTTCAGTGCGTGGGAATCGTTACTTGGGAAACGAATTTCACTGATGATCAACTTAATGTAAACAAACAGACTCGTAATTCTTACATGCAATAAGCTATGATTACTTGTTATAATCAGTTGATAAAGAAAAGCCTTTTATTGAAAATAAATTTATAAGTAATGATTTTGACTAGTAGAGTTAAAATTGATGTTATCAAATAAAGTTAGTGTCTAACCGAATGATGATTCATTATTTATTGGTCAGAGACTCCCTTCAGAAGCAGAAGGCACGATTGGAATCTAACAGTTGAAACAGTGCAATATGTATATTTAACTAGGTAGTTTACACTTATTATACTGTACAAATTGGTCAGAGCTTAGTAAATAAAGCACTCACTAACTTAACAATCAAAATTCATCATGGTAAAAAGCATATAATAAATCAAACTTACGAAAACATTCATGCCGACTAACCAAACGGAATACATTCAGTAAGGAAACTGACTGACAATCACAGGTACGAAAACGTTGTTTTTCAGGAACAAGAATTTTATGTTGACCTTGTATTGTCTGTCGTACATATGCTCGACTAGGTTTTTTGGTATTATTTTTTGGTAGTAGAACACAGTTTGTAATCTGTGTGTCATCAACGATATGGAATTCTTCACGGTTCGACCAATATGAAGGATTCTTGTTTACAAAGCCTTTGAAGCACTTAGTTGGAGAGCACGGACTCCATGAAGACCATGGGCACCATTTACGTCGGACAAGCCTATTTCCATTATCATCAAAATCGTCCATTTCAGAATTTAATGAAGAGTTGATCATGAAAAATAATAGGATCAAATTTGTTAAACTGAGTTGAGCAAGTATTGGGATGTCAAATAAAAGTGAGGATACACCATGATTAAAAAAGATGTATTGGACAGAAGAATGCTCAAGACGCATAGAAATTTCATCGGAATTCTAAAAAAGAAAATGACCAACTTCAGCACAATGGTTGCTAAACAGAAATAGCAGCGTTTATGAAAGTAACAAATAACTGGAGTAACAGTCAACTCAATAAACTGCTTACAACCTTAAAATATAAGCTCATTTCATTAAAATCTAATTGTGTACTAACTGAGCTTCGAAACAGAGAACGTATTAAGTTATTTAGAAATGAACAAAAGTACACTATGTGACGGCCCAGGAAGTGGTATACAGCATGTAAAACTAACAAAAATAGAATGTGGACCACTGGCTTAAGATTAAAAGCATTCAGCTTCTAACCATTTGATAGCAGGTTTGAATCCAACTACGCCCTCTTTGAGTTAATCAACTGAGTAATATAAATAACTCTCAACTGAAATATGAAGGGTTAAGGCTGTATATGAAAATATGGTTGACAAATGAGTTATACTAACAATGATTTTAACGGGAATAAATATTTGGAAGAAATTCATTTCCATGTAGAAACTTGCCCACTTCAAGGTATCTAGTAAGGTAGGGAAGTAATTGTCTAGAGTCTATTTCATACGTGATAAACAAGTGAATAATGAAGCTCACACTGGGTACGAACAATTAGTCAAATGGCATCTGCTTATGATGTTATCCACGTTTTCACATTGAGGCAAACAACGTTCTCATCCGCCCCTAACATACTGAAACTGAAGTAGGACTCACTGACCCCAGCGGACATATTACTGTTGAAATACCCAACGTTAAAGTGACTGGTAAATGGTGCTAACTCTCATCAACATAAATATTTACCTATTGCAACGCTCTTTTACTCAGTTTAGTAGTTTATGAGTAACCAGATGACTTTTGAGAATGAAATTATCACCAAATGAGGAAAAATTAGTGATTAATTGTTTTTGGTGTAAGTACTGAAGACAAATAGTCTGTCTATTTCGGGATTTAAATCCCATGAAAGCATTTTTTGGACAATACATACACTGTTCTGGCGATTTTGGAGTTTCACACTTTTAGTACCTTTGTTTTATACTGATAATCAGGACCAGATTTCGTAACGAAACCACGGTATTAGCAATTATTTGGTAAGTGTAAGATTTTAACTTCATATTGTTTGATATTGCTAGACCAGCTGAAACTTATGAAACGCCAAGTATCGAGTAATCAGTCAGATTACAATCAAGGTATAGGTAATTAGTAAATGACTATAACGCAGCTGATATATATATATATATATATATATATATATATATATATATATATATATATATATAGTCGATCCTTTTGTGACTATTATAAACCATAAAATGGCATACGATTCCAAATTAACTCGTTCACCAAATACCTGGATATGGGCCAAACTCCAAATATGAGGACTGTAGAAGCCACTCGGTTGCCCGAACCGACGCAACTAGAACGGGGTTATATCGTGAGGCTTAGTGGGCGGAAGTCGAACGCCTTAGCCATTATTCAGTAATATGGCGCGATATTCTGGTCAAGGAACAGTGATAATTTTGTTCGGCGAGCCTGGTTGAGAAGATATGGTAATACTTAGACACGGAAAGCAATAATAAGCTTAAGTGAAACCTCTGACTATAATTTACACCTTTGAAGATTTTGACGTCGATGTTAGAAAGTGAAATACAACCTCAACAATGACAAAATACATGGCACGAAGTTAAATGGAACGCGGCTTTTTCACAGGCCAGTAAAGTGTGTAATACTCCGGACCTTATTCTTTTAACTGACATCGAGGAAATAATAGAAGTAATGTTTTCCAATTACTGTAGATGTTGAAGGTCAGAGGACTACATATTTAGTTATAAGCACTATGCATTTTGTTCCAATACATTTGGAAAATGCTTATTATCTCGTTCTCAGTACAACAATAAGTATTTGAATTGTAGTGGTATCTCAAAAAGACTTTCGTGGCAGTTTGATTTTGATTATGTAGTATTTGTCATTAGTCGAAACTCTCCGGGGATTCACACTCTGAGATCTGAATTAGCAACAGCCACATAACACAAATATACAACATGAAACCATTCATTTAATCTTTTTAAGTGAGATATACATGGGCCTACTACTGATTTCTAAGTTTATCAAGTCATCAACCCTAACACTGCTCCCCCAAGACTGATGAATTGGATTACCGAGGCGTGAAAAAGGAAATACTGACAACACATTCACTTTAAATACCAAACACCACGAATGTTTTTTTGTTCCCAAGACTTGAACTTGTCTGAACAGAAACATGTATGTGCAAGATATCTTGCACTTGAAATCAAAAGCAACATTCTAAACACGAGGCTGAAATTTAAAACCATTGTTTTCCAAGAACTCAATAAACATAGGTTTATTAGAACATGTGAAACGTGAAGTTTGGTAAGATTGGTAGGTTTTCAGTAAACAATCTTATGTTCAGACGTGGGTGATGAACAGAGAAAACATTATAGTGAACCACCACGAGCCGAAAATAATTAAAAGGCATATAGTAACACTTGCGTTTAAAACTTAAGTTAGGGTACAATCGAATTACATTACTACAACAAACAAACGAAAATGCAGACGTTCAAAACGTCCGCTAGACGAACAATTTAAGTTACCCTCTTAAGGGTTCGGTAATTTAACATCTTTGTCATAAGCTAATATAAACTAATAATTTTTCATTCATGTATCTCGATGTGGAAGACAGCTTCTGACCTTGGATGATGCATCATTCAGCTGGCTGCAGAAATTAAAGTAATCATTTGGATTTGATCATAATGTTTCATATGACCCATAAATACCTTCTTATCAATAGGTCACCAATATTTTTCAGTGGCACATTACAACTAAAACAAGTTCAGCCTAAGGAGTAGCACCATATAAAACAAATGACACTTTCCATAGTTGATATTCGCAAACTGTCGAGTTTAACATTTGAACCAGTGGTGATGGTGTAATAAGAGTGACCAGTCGAGTATGCAAGACACTGAAGTCATCTATGTTTGAGGATCCAACACTCGTTCTGACTGAACATAATCTTTCAATTTTTCTCGTGTCTGTGTGACGTCGAATCTGAGAACGTCGTATATGTGCGCGTTTCGCGTACAAAAGTACTGCATCATCAATAACTCGAATTATCGTCCTCCTGTTCACACAATAAGCTGGTCGGAAAAATTCTTTAAAACTGGTCGGTTATCAGCAATACTAATGACTAATAGGACATGAAAACTTTTGAAGTGGATAACAACCCGGTTCCCAAGTGGCTTTAGGAAATATTAACTCCTTACTTACATAAATCTGTTCACACCATGCTAATCAAATTTCTAGCCTATAAGAATCTGGTTATTCAAACTCTATAAATTCAACTCAATTCCAGGACTTTGTCTTCGGTATTTTTATTATTTTTATTCTATGTTTCGATTGTCCCTGCTCATAGGACACTTTCTGTATCTGCTGTTACGAACCACATTGTAAAAGGTTGTGGTTACGGACACAAGATAATGTATGTGATCAAGTTAGGTTAATAATCTAGCTTCTGGAAAATTCATAATGACATTATTTTGTAACAACGTCCCATTTAAATGCATTTTTGCGTCAAAAATGTCTACATTATGTCTAATCTACTCCAGATTACCAATAAGTTCAGAGAGATCAAACATTTATTTTGAACCGAGATTCGATTTCGTATCTAACAAATGAGAATTTCGTAAGTTCGGCTGACTTTATCTGTGTATTTTTTTAAAGCGAATTTTTTTTATTTCTAACTTTTGCGTTAAATAGCTGACAGCCTGGGCGAGCTTTTGAAAATCGTACTTTACCAACATGGTGTTGAGCAACCGACTCGCAGCATTTACCCAGATATTCTCGTTTCATTTTCCTACATTCCATTCTCTAATTAGCTCTGATTCCCATGTAGAGAGCACATTTAACAATTCATGTGGGATGATTTGTGTAAAGAAAAGTAATGGTACCGAGATTGAGTTAGTCAGGTTTAGGACTACCTTGAAATGTTGATTCAGCGGTTACCGTTACTGACTGTAAAATTGACAAGGCAAAAAAACTGAATTAGATGACCATTCTCCATTTAGCCGAGTAAAACGAACTGAATCGTTTCTATTCAATAATCTGATCGAACCAACATTCCCGTCGAAGACGGTTCTAGGAGGAAGCTTAAGTTGGGTGGTTAATAGCTAGCCAAAAACATATTTTTAATGTCGAAAAATTAATGCGCGAGTATTTATTTACTTTTTATCTTGTGTCACTAATATATTTTTTATTATCTTACATTGAATGTTGAAAGGACTGCGTGTTTAAAATTTAGAACCTTACGCTTCAACCGTTCCATTCCACAAAGTCAGTAAAAATCTACTTTACCTGCTAGTCTGGCTTTTTCTACACATAAAATGAAGGGTGACTATCAGCATTAAAGTGGTGGCCGTTCTACCTCTTTCAAAAGTGACCTAGATGTTCAGTTTAGCTCCGAACGCACTGAGAAAAGTTACTGAAAGTTTTAAGTATTGAGCACCTGTGTAATTAACTAATTTTTGATTGTTCGAAATCACGAGGGACTTAAACACTAGCCCTCTCGTTTTTCTGCCTAAATAATCAGTCTGCAATAGTATGTAATAGACATGACGTTTCATGCTCAAACTTTTAACTTCATCGTTTTTAACATCCGGAAAGTTTAATGAGCCACAATGTCTTGTCAATGAAAGACACAACAGGTAGCTTTTAGGTGACTGATGTTGAATCTGTAGTGAAAATTTTATTCCTACACATATATTTGATCAAACAAATGAACTGTGAAATGTACGACGATACTAGTTCTTTTATCTCTATCGAAACTGAAAAAGGATTGCTACTTTTTTGTCTATTTACGAGTGAATTTTAGAAATTCCAATAAATGTGCATACTATTTATTTGTGTTCAGGATATTCGCTTCATTCCCTTTGAATTTCGATTCTTGTTTGGCTGATTCAACTTGCCTGTTCGTTGTGCTTGTACAAAAGGCGAGTCTTGAAAGTATCATGTGTTCGGCTTCCCACTGTAGTGACATTAGTTATTATTGGTATATGGCGATCAGATCCGGGAAATATTGACGGATAAGGGAAATCTATTTTCAGCTGTTTGACATCAGATATTATTGTTACTCACTCAACAGATACTTCAGAGACACCGTGTTGAGCTTTTTGTATTTCAGGTCTCGGGTACATTCCACTGAGCTAGATAACGGTGCGCATGAAAAGTCGATTGTGTGTGCTGAGTCGCTTTATGAATGCCTCAGGATTTACATGTCTTTGATGAGTGACTAACCTTTAAATAATTGTGCTCGATGTGTAATAATTCTGGGCTCAACTAATGGTGTTTTGTTACGGTTACCCCTTATGGGTATCGTGTAGTGTAGTTATTCTCTTCAATCTACCTCGCTAGTCGTAGCAAATTTGACAGTTGTCCGGAACTTTGTAAAATAAAAATGATAGCATTATAGGTATCACTACCAAGCTTTGATTTAATAATTTCGAATAAACTGAGCATTGGGTAGATTGTTATAGATAAATAGTATATTTGTAATATCCCAATGAGTAGAAAAATGAGATTTTCTGACGTTTCGTGGCTTAGTGTAGGTCACTTCTTCAGAGACCAAATAACTAAATTAAAATTAATCCAAGTACTATTTAAACTTGGAATGATTTTAATTTGGTTATTTATTACAAATATATTATTTATTTATAATGATAGCACTTTTTGAGGTGTTATAAAGTTGTTAGTATCAGCAGCCATCATGTCACACAACAGCTGACTTGCTGGTTTTAAAGTCAGGGTAGGAGGGAGAAGACGCAATATAAGCTCTCAAACTAAATTATTAAGTAAGTATATCACCGAATTGAACACTTAAAAATCTAATAAGAAAACATGTGTTTGGTAGCGGCGGTTCGCAGCTTGTTCCTAGCATTTGCATTATTAATAACCAAGGAAAAGTTCCCCGGACAGCCTTAATTTAGTGGTCACTGATTATGGTTGTTTTCTTGAATAGCCTGAAGGGATGCAATCGCCGAATCCTGGAAACTTGGTGATTGCACTATATTATGGTATGACATTTTGCAACCGTGTTGAATTATTGTATTGGCACAATTGTCCTTCCTACAATTGCTGTTCGTTTTGTTTCCATTTTAGGCCAGGCAACTTTCGGCCTTTGGTGGACGTAGTCTGTAATCGGTCGGTCATGGGCAGGCGTAGTTGTTGCTCTCGATAATGGTTGAGTAGAAATGATCAAAGACAAAAAAGGGTAGTGAGAGTTATTAATCATCGCGTTGAAACTCGTGGGTGTGTGGTTAGCCTCAGGAGTGAAAAAGTGCTTTCGCTCGTCACAACAAACAATTCAGCTCAACTCCAGATGAAAGGAAGGCACACATGTAGTGTGACAATGATGAGTCTTCCTTTGAAAGTAATAACTTAGGGAACTGTGGTCATGCCGGCTGAGTTAACGTTTCATAGCTAGTCAACCCCTGCAACGGCGGCCACAAGAATGTTGAAATTTATTAGAAAGGCTAGAACCACTTCAGGAACGACAACTGCTCGCAACCTACGCTTGTCCGATATACTTAAGGTGGAAGGAGTTCAACGAGACTTCACTCGCAAAATACTTAAGAAAGACTCACTCATAAATGCAGTTCCCGATGCCACATCTTGGGACTAGAACCCCTTTGGAATAGAAGGCTTAGGTCCGATTCGGTACTGTATTTCAAACCCCTCAAAAACTTTGCTTATTCCACATGTAATATAGCTGTTGCCCAAGACACACATGAATACAACCTTCGAGACAAAGTATCCGTTACGGGAGAACTGTAGATATTTTGCTGATTAAAAACTTTTTATTGTACATTAATAATTTTACTGTGTTTGGATGTATTTGTTTTACTTAACTTTTGAACTTGTTTGTCTATATCATTGTTTTTGGACACTTTGGTTTCTCTTTGTCATTGGTTTAGTATTTGGGAGTTTTTGCTCCGGGAACCTAAAAAATTGAAGAACGACATTCGGGTCGACTATTTGTAAATTGCAAATAAACTTTGGTACCTAAATTGGAATTTGGTTCTATCGTCGATTTGGGTTCGCAAATTGCAAATAGATTGATATACCGTACTTCAATAAAGGAAACGAGCGAAAACGTGAACGTAACAGTATTCACTGTTGAAGTTGAGAAATACATATCAAAAACCCGCGAAAACTTCTTCCTCATTAAGTTTGCATCATTTCTTCTGAAATACTCATGGCAGATGAATTATGTACGTTTTTATGACTTACTGATCAAGCCCTCACTTGCACAGATCCAGCACAAACGAACACATCTGCCTGATACGCTCGTAAAATGGTACTTATAGAAATAGTGTTTTTCAACAGGATGTGGAACATTGTGTGTGATGTATGATATATATCCAAAAAATAGGTTCAAATGAACCCAACGTCACAAAAGGAGGAAGGTTGGAGTTACTGTCCAGCAAGCATTGATGGTGAAAGCGATGACTTCAATCCACCCATGTTTGTGGGGCAGAACATTTTGTTTGTATTAGGCTCTTTATTTTTAGAACAAGTCAATCAATCTGTGATATTGAGGTTTTTCTCCTACGTTCACCATACAGACTCATGTTTCCAATTTTATGCTGGATTAGCTATTCTGCTAAGACAACCTATAACATGCTAACTAAGACTTTTATATTAAGACTGTGTGGCAGGCATCAGATGAAAAATATCGACAATAAAAGACACGTTTATTAGTTTTCTAAACACTTCGCTCTCTATATGCACTTTCTGTTCCAATAAACAGCCTTCCTTATTCCAACATTGATAATTCTTCCTTCATTTGAACTTACTCCACCTTGAGACATATCACAACTCATTGTTCTTTATTACTTCATTCTCTCATCTGGAGCCTCTGATCACACTTCACTTTAGCTACAAGAGCTAGTGTGAATTTAATCTAATAAATTCTCATACCTCTCTCTGTTCCAATACAAAATGTTAATTATTGTTTATCGTTCGTATCCAAGTGCCTCGCCGCTCTTCGGTTTCTCTTTTTACCTTCAGAATCATGCTCCGAGGAAACAGTTATGGAACTTCCGACGTCTGTAACGAACTAGACGTACGAGTTGTCCCAAGGTCATAGTTCACACCAAGTGCTCTACAAGTCTACTTTATAACAACTATAAGATGTTACATAGCATAAATACTTAGCATGGCCAAAATCCTAACGCAATTGTGCCGAGATTGGATCTCGTGTGTAACGTGGACGCGATGCCACTTTAGAGAGTAATTTGAAGATTACTCAGTATATCTAAATGAACAAACTAATATCCACTCTTATGGACTATATTCTTTAACATGCATGCATAGATCATGCCTGGAAATATGGCATGTTCCTGCCATTGCAGAAATATATTATTATTATTACTTTCTACCAACTCAGTTTCCCGCATAGCCGTTTCCCTCTGATCGGTTGTCACATTTTGTATTTCACTAAAATGATACATGCCTGAAGGTCACATTGCGCTACCGTAACAACAACTTTCGTGCCAATTTAGTTTGATTTGACCGTCCTATCACATATGAAGTTATCTCCAGTTCCGTCTTCCTCCTGGGTTAGTCGTCGAGGTGCGATGTATTGAGCATAATTGATTGTTGTCAGTTTCGAAGAAAACCGGTCGTACTGGAGTAACTCATTTGTTGTCATTCCTAGATTCGTGACGAAGTTAGCCGTACTGAACCCCGATAACAAAACACAACAACTGGCGACGGGTATGGCTGTTAGATGTGTTAATGTTAAGGGTGAACGTCTAATGGAACAACAGTTCAAACTGATTGAGTTGTGATCTAGTACCTAAATTACTAAGAAATCAACACCAAAAACCTCCATATCTGAATTCAAGCTCGATAATGACATCAATCAGATTGCTGAGTGCAGTTATGAACCACAGTCAAACGTAATATTTGACACCTGGTTTCGCCATCACGAGACATGTTTGATGTTGATTCCGGAGACCAAGAAGACTCTTGGAAAGCACGTATTTTTTTTACGAAAATTCGGCGCCACAGAATTCGACAGACGTCGCAACATCACTCTAAAATACACGTGAAAATACCTCTACAGACACTACAACTTCTCTGAGTCAAATGTTTGGTGATCAGTCTTCGATTTTGATCCTCGATATTGATGCATGAGGCTAGTAATTGACGAAGAAGACGATTTTCTCACACATGTCGAAATGATAAACCACGAGAGTGAGCTGTTTAAGTTAGAAACTCCTTCTCGTTACCGATTGAAATCATTAAAAGCTACTCATAGTTTACAGTCTGAAAAATTTGTTGATATTCGTGCATGTTTGTTATATAGTTTTAATCAGGACCCAATGTTGACACCCAAAAAGTTGCTCGAGAACTTCAACGATTAACAAAACAGTCAAAGTGAAATCCGTTCTGGTTTCAAAAACACCAGACATAACTGTTCAGTCTGTGTCTTTTACGGTGACTAGACCAGTGAACCTCGGTTGACTTTTCTTAGCTTCTGAAGTTTGCAGACACCGAGTGCGGGAGCAGTCGTCGTAAGGCATAATGGATGAGGAACCGGGATATAATAAACGGTGCTGTTTGCAACCACTTAGGTTTTGTGGCAGCCGATGATATTGTTGGATATTGAATGCATAAGCCTCGTTCGGAACATAACAGTCCAACTCTGTGGGGTAACGATACGATTGTGAGAAGTTCAAGCATTTCGATTAGTTTCTTTCCAGGCGCTTACTTTGTCAGATACCTGTAGTCATGTCTTAATTTTCGACAACACTTCAACCACTAGCTTTTAAGAATCATTCTGATCAAAGATGAAATTCAGTGTAATTTTTATTCAATGTTGAGTTTTGTAGACCTTATGACGTTTGAATATTATTCTTTTGTTTCCTGGATACGATGGGTAAGACTGATTGACCTGGCCCATTATAACTGTATTTTACTAAAAAACAGTTTGCTCAAGATCGTTGGTTAATAGTGGTAGACAGAAATAATGCTTAAGTAGCTTATAGATGAGGGCTTCAAACGTCCTATGAGCATCAGGCGTGTGTCACATGTGAGTCCACCTGTAGTGTGCTTGCAGTGTCACACTCCCATAGAAGGACCAGAGAGTGAGGTCCTAATTTAAATAGAAATGCCTTTCAACATTCAATAT